CCATAAGCCGATGGACCTACCCAGAGTAGAAGCTGAAGGATGCTGTGGGCGGGGCCTGGACAAAGGGATGGGAAGGTAGGGTGGAAGATGCTGTGGGCGTGACCTAATGGGCGGGGTGGGGCCGTAATAGGGTGCAGAGCCTAGGGCAAACCCCTGGTGTAGAAGGGGACCTAGTTCAGAAACCTTTTTCCGGGGGACGACTTGAGCCGACAAAGCTGGCGATTGCCAATAGTTTGGAACGAAGTCAGTCTAGTCTTGAACTACATTTTAGCAAAACCAGTTTGGGGACGGCTGGGTTAGTGGGGAGGACGCATGCGGAGGAGGAGGGCAGAGTAAACAACTGAATTTATAATTTGAGGAAACTCAGGGCTAGGCAATCGAGCTGGTTCAGCCGGGTAAAGGCGCTTCCCGCACAAACCTCGCACCCTGAATTCTATCCCTGGAACCCTCGGAAGACAGGCAGAGGAAACGGGCCATAGGCACACGTGTGCCCATTACGCCTCCACCTTAAGACCTGCGCGAACCTCGCACGCCTCGGTCTCTGTCTCCGTCCATGGGGTTGCTGGGATGAGGGTTCGGAGAAGTGGTAATCGTAGGGAGTTCGTAGGGAGGTGTCTCGCTCCTGCCATCTGGGCGCAGAAGAGGTGGAGACAGCTACGCGGAGAGTTCCGGGCTAGCGGGGCCTCCCGAGAGACTGTCTCAAAGAACCAAGCGGGGCTGGAGTAATCGTCCCGCAGTTAAGAGCACTGGCTGCTTTTGCACAAGACCCAGCTTGGGCTCCCAGCATCCACAGGACAGTTAGAAGCAGCCAGCGGGGCTCACACCCTCTTCTGGCCTCTGTGGGCACTGCTCACACGCAGTGCACAGACATATATGCGGCGAAAACACCCACGCACGTGGATAAAGAACTTTTAAATTAAAAAAAAAAGAGTTCAGTAACTTTTGGTTGCCGTAATAACTGTAGTCCCTGGCACTATATTGTAATTGTTAGGGCAGGCGCTAGGAAGGGATTACCTTCATTTAATGTGTTGTTTTATTGTAATATAACATATTATGATGTTTAATTACATGTAATTATAGATGGGGTTGTTTCGTGTGAGGTGCTGGATGGCAAACAGGGCTGTGGGCATACTAGGCGAGCCCTCTGCCGCCGAGCTGCAGCCCCAGCAAACGTCTAATTATTTCTAAGGCCAGCGCAAGGAAAGCATAACTTGAGGCACCAGGCAGGCTCTTGGACGAGTCAGCTCAGGAAACCCCAGCTAAAGACCCTGCAGTAAGCAGCCTATCCGTCTCCTCCGGTGTCCCCTGACTGGCTCTGCGCTCCCCGCAGGCCCGGGCCTCTATGCAGGCTGAGATGGAGTTGAAGAAGGAAGAGGCTGCCCGGCAACGGCAGCGCATCGCCGAGCTGGAGGAGATGCAGGAGCGGCTGCAGGAAGCCCTGCAGCTGGAGGTGAAAGCCAGGCGGGATGAGGAGGCCGTGCGCCTCGCCCAGACCAGGTAGGCGCGAGTTCGGGGTCCCCTTCCCGCCAGCGCCCGCGCGGACCGTGTGTCCGGTCCGTCCTGCCCCCACCCGGCTCTGAGAGGTCCCTGCGCACCCCTGCAGACTGCTGGAGGAGGAGGAGGACAAGCTGAGGCAGCTGATGCACCTGAAGGAGGAGCAGGAGCGCTACATCGAGCGAGCGCAGCAGGAGAAGCAGGAGCTGCAGCAGGAGATGGCGCTGCAGAGCCGCTCCCTGCAGCACGCCCAGCTGCAGCTGGAGGAGGTGCGGCAGCACCGGCAGAGGGCGGGGGAGGACGTGGAGGTGAGACACCGGCGGA